AAAAAAAAAAAAAAAAAAAAAAAAAAAAAAAAAAAAAAAAAAAAAAAAAAAAAAAGCCTCTTTGGAAAAGTGCTTGAGAACATCCCGAAGCGATTGGAGGAGCGGAAAACCCTTCCCCCCTGCACCTGACTCGTGAGTATTTACAGCACTTTTCAAGGCGCCTCGGCACTGCCACTGCACAACCGGGAGTGGATGGGCTGCGTGGGGCCGGCAGCGCCGTAGGGACCAGGACCGGGACCAGGACCAATGCGCCCGCAGTGATACAGCGTGTGCCTGTGTGCTGGGCGCCATCCGGGACCGCTACACCCACCCGCACGGAAAGAGAGTCTGCAAGAAGCAGAAACCCTACATCCAAAATGCCACGCTCCTTCCTGGTCAAGAAACATTTCAATTCATCCAAGAAACCGAATTACAGCGAGCTGGACACTCATACAGGTAACAAAACGAAATGTACTGCCACTGCGTCTCTTCTGAGGCTGCGGTCGTTGCGTGGCAGTTCTGAGGAGGGGTGGGATTGCTTTGCAGGCTGCAGGGTACGGCTTAGTTCACAGCTTGCTCTATTATCTCCTGCTTACAAGGAGCAATATCTCTGAGAAATATGCTAGTGCTGACCAGAATGAATCATGAAAGTTTGCTCATCCACTTGAACTCAAGTTACTTTGAGAGGATTTGGAGTTTTCCTGTTCTATATCTGCTGGTGGTGGAATTGAAATTTTACCCAACTCCTTCAGGAAGTTTCACTGTTTCATTGTGTCAGGCTGCATGGATTTAGAAGCAGTATGCTGCCTTGAAAAAACTCTGCAACTGCAGTTTGCCTGTTCAAGGGTACTGTCTCTACACATCAGAATATGTGTATAAAACAGTATTTTCTCAATTATTATATTCAGATTATCCTACTGACTGTTTAATTAATGAAGCTTTTAATCCTCCAAATATTAATTTTGCTGCCTTTTGAAGTACTTTTTAGTTCTCTTACCTTAAAATGTTCTTCTTTCTCCAGTGATTATATCCCCCTACCTGTACGAAAGTTATCCAGTCCCTATCATACCACAGCCAGAGATCCTGAGCTCAGTAGCTTACAATCCTATTACTGTGTGGACTACAACTGGGCTGCTACCGTCTCCATTACCCAATGACCTGTCTCCACTTTCTGGATACCCCTCATCTTTGGGAAGAGTCAGCCCACCTCCACCTTCTGACACCTCCTCCAAAGATCACAGCGGTTCAGAAAGCCCCATTAGCGATGAAGAAGAGAGAATCCAGTCAAAGCTTTCAGACCCTCATGCAATCGAAGCTGAAAAGTTTCAGTGCAGTTTATGCAACAAGACCTATTCAACTTTCTCTGGGTTGGCCAAACATAAGCAACTGCACTGTGATGCCCAGTCTAGGAAATCATTCAGCTGCAAGTACTGTGACAAGGAGTATGTCAGCCTGGGAGCACTTAAGATGCACATCAGGACCCACACACTACCTTGTGTCTGCAAGATCTGTGGCAAGGCTTTCTCTAGACCCTGGCTACTTCAAGGACACATCAGAACTCACACTGGTAAGAACAAGCATTACATTTATAGTTTCTTGTCACTGTAACATCAGGATGCCTTTTTGCTATTTTTCTCCACAGGTGGAAAAACCAGCAGTGTTTCTTAATCAGCCTTGAAATGCATCCACAGAATTTCAAATAAATCATTAAAAGGCTAACTTCTCCCTCTTGGAGGGAGGGTGGAAGGGGAGTGCAGCATGGTCTCGTAACTGAGGCTCAGATACTGGCATAAATCAGCATTGCTGTCCTGATAATTTTAGGATGGTTTAACCCATTTCTACTAGCTGAAGGTTTTGCTTTAAGGATTTTATGTTAACTTTCAGGCTTTGGAAATTACTAACTTTGAGAAGGCTCCAGTTGACTCTGAAATCAGGCAGCAAAAAACAGAATGGCAATGCATGAGGGGCTGCTTTCTGATTCCTTAAGCAGCTGGCAAGTTTTGCACGCACTGTCTCAAGTCCTTAAGAATTAGAAACACATCATCAGCCAAGTGGCTGGTTTTTTTTCTGTTGAGGCAAAAACTGGGTTTTGAATATAACACTGGGTACAGTGTAGTGTCTGTACAGCTGTTTGCTGCTTTTCAGTCAAAGGCCTTGTTCCCTGGTAATCCATACAGCATTATGCAGAAAAATTTCTATGAAAATATTTAAAAATGTCTGGAGGAGCCCAGTCTAAAAGTACTGCACCTGTAGATGAAGAAGATAGCAGCAGCTTGTCTTCAGAGACTGCACTTAGCAACATATTTTGAATACACTAGGGTTCTGCAAATACAGTCAGCAGTGCAGAAAGCTGCTATATCTGTGGCCTGATTTACTTTTTATTACACAATTTTTCATTATAACAAGTAATTTCTATTTCTCATTTGTTTCTTAGGATAAAAGAAAGTTTTACCTCTCCTAAACTTGTGTTTTTCTAAAAAAGTTTTATCCTATTTTCTCTTGATATTTCCTTTGTAGGAGAGAAGCCGTTTTCCTGTCCTCACTGCAACAGGGCTTTTGCAGACAGATCCAATCTGAGGGCTCATCTGCAGACCCACTCAGATGTGAAGAAATACCAGTGCAAAAATTGCTCCAAAACTTTCTCCAGAATGTCTCTTCTGCACAAACATGAGGAATCTGGCTGCTGTGTAGCACACTGAGTCATGCAGTCAATGTTTACCTGGACTCGATGTATTTCTCCACTCTTGTTCCAAATGATAAGTAGAAATCCAAAGGCATTTTCTCATCTACTCTTCAGCCAAAAAAAAAAAAAAAAAAACACCAAAAAAAAACCCAAAAAGCAAAACACACACACACACACACACACACACAAAACCAACAAACCAAAACACCACGAAACAAGCAGACAAATAAACTAGTGGAAGAACTTAGAATGTCAGTAGAAATGAGCTTTAAGTAGTTTCTGTTCAGCCATACATTTGCATTCTTACGTGTGAATTCTGAAATATGGGGACAGATGCCATGCATGACATTTCAAGCAATCTAAAGAAGCATTATCAGCTTTCTTTATAGATGAAGCCAAATGTAGGTAGTCTTTTCTTGCTTAGAAAAGGCTGCAAAATTAACGATACATTCCTGCCAAGCCATTTCAACCAAAGAAACAGTATTTTAAATGAAAATTTTAATAAAAGTACTACCCAAGTGAATTTTGCTAGACACCATTTTTCTCAGGTGCCTTAAAAAGTATTCCAAGTTTACCTTAGTAAATGTTTAATGTTATTCATTGCTGTGTTTTTTATTTTATTTTATGGGAAGCCAAGGCCTTCATTAATGATCTAAAATGCTTTAAAACTGCATAATTAAGAGAGCAAAAAAAGTATAAGAGAATGTACAAAAAAATTGAAAGCCACAATGTAACCGCATGTGCCTTCAAAAAAAAAAAAAAAAAAGACAAAAAAAGGTAATACTGTAGCTTCAAACATTCCTGGTGCATGCTTGACCATCTTTTGATATGGAATAGTTCATCTAAACTTCATTTTTTTATAAAAAAACGGGAATAAGTGCAAGAGAGGGGATCCATGGGAGCTTTACAATTATTTTTTTAAATGCACAAAGGAAATGCAATATTTTCAGCATTACCCCTCCAAGTGCCTTTTTTATTGATGATTTTGTAAAGTATGTGGACATAATGTAAATATTTTTATTTTTATATGACTGAATGTGTTATGAATGAAAGCGAATTGTTGCCTATAGCAGCATCTATAGATAACTTGAAGAAAGTGTGAAGTGAAATTTATGTTGTTTTCTAGCCACTTTTTTACAATAAACATTTTTAAGTAAGATGTCTGTTGTTTGTTCTAATTGAAGAAAACATCTGCGTCTGTTTTTAAACATAGAAAAATGTGAATGTCTCTACATGACCAAATGAAGATAAAAGTGAATTTCAGATAAAAATATTTAATGCAAAAGTTCTGAACATTAGAAGGGAATATATCCATTGCATTTTAGAAGATTTAAAACCCCATAGAGCGTTTTTCTAGAGTTGTGGCTTTAAAGCACTTGTTTTTCTGCTTCTTACAAGAGTGCGGTAACATTGTGAAATATATTTTATCAAAACTATTTAAGAGCAACTTCTTTCTTGCATTTTAACCAATGAAAGGATGCTAATAGAGTAGCCTTATTATAGCACCCTGAAACTCTGACATCAGGAAATCTGGGTCTGATCCAAAGTTCATTAAAGTCAGTGGAGCCTTACAGGAGTTCAGCAATGTTTGCATGATGCTCTTTTAAAGTTGCAGTATAATACACTTTTTATGGCAATTTCAAAACAAAGATATTTTATTAAAATATGTTACATATCAGGTCTTTCAAGTGAATGCATTACAATTGTACATCAGCTAATATATCACAGGAAAGAAATATTCCATAATAAAAAGTAGAAATCATTTTCTTCAGATGATTTGCCTGAGGACTCCAAGATCTGAACTACATAAAAGCATTACAATATCAACAAATCATGTTTCGTCATTACTAAATGATGCAAAACAACACCATTTTCAACTTTTAGCAAAAGACAAAGCCAGAGAAGAAACAAGCACCAGTTGTCATCCAGCCTAAAGACCTCTATGTCTACAATAGGGTACCAGTAGGAACAAGTAATAGCAAAAATACAATTCCAACAATTTAACATGAATGCTAGTGATGTATAAACTTAAGGTGCACATTTCTTGAAAAAGAGTATGTTTCAGAAAAATAATGCAATAAATTGTATCTTCTCTCTCCTCCAGCTGAGTTCTGTAGAGTAGGGCTTCAGCAGGACGGCAGTAGAATAACAACAGACAGAAGTTTTGCACCTTTCCTCCACAGAAAGTGTGATATTGAAAAAAAGATCAGCTCCCACGAAGCTTTCATATTCTCCAAGCATCTTCTGACAAAATCTCAGGGTTATAACAATGATTCCCTAGGAGCTGCTAGATTTTTCTTCAGGAAATAGCTAGAGAGTTCAAGCAAGATAGGGTTAGTGGGAATTTGCAAGGTAACATTTCAAAATGAACACATGAAGGCATCAAATACCCTTGAAAAGTTTCATGTGGTTACTCTATTGATTTGCACTTCCATGTCATTCGCTTTGAAGTTCTTAGGCTCCAGCAGCTCTTTGTGCAGCTTTCTCTTCCCAGAGCAAAGTTTACTGGAGTATGAGTAAAGCTCTGGCAGTCAACAGCTATTTGTACTGTCAAAGTTCTGGGTTTTCTCTTCTGTGTTGTGCCACAAGGACTTTTCCATTGTTTTAATTCACACTTTAAATTCTCTACATGCACAGTAAATGAAATAGCATAAGAGCTTGACTTCTGAATGAGTGTAAATGCTACTGTTGTCCTTAAGGGAAATCAGATGAAAACTTCATCAAAATACAGTATGCTAAACCAAACACAAGTGGAACTGGTCTGATCTGGAGATGACAATTAAGATATGCTACTTTGCATGCCTGTAACACCTGTACTCATAAAACACAAAGATGGGAAAGGCTAGAAGCTCTTCTGGCTCATCTCTGTAATTGAAACAGAGCACTCTATCACAGAACCCTAGCTCTTTGTCCAGTTGCAGCATAACCTTCCCAGGCAGCTGAATTTCTCTGTTTTTCCTGTGTGACTGCTTTTTATTCCCTGTCAGGATGTTTCTCCAAACCATAGTAGTTTTAAATCATTACCTTAGAAATACCCTTCTGCACCTGCACAAGCTATTTATCAATGTAAATTGAATTCTGTTCTGAGCTCCTGGTCAATGACTCCTATGACTTTTTCAAACCACAAGGGAAAAGCTCCCTCCATGGTGAATACCCACTGAATCTCTGCAGCCACTGCAACATTTCTCACAAAACATCTCTTACTCTATATCCAAATATTCAACTTTTTAAACCTTTCATAGGAAAACATGGCCCCACACTCTAAATATCTTCACTGATCTATTCTGAAATCAGTCACTTTTTTTACTTTTAGTTTTTGACACCAGTGCTAAATATAATTCTTTTAAGTGAAGTTAAGCTATCACAAGACCAGTTTCTCCTCTAAAAGCGCCTGAATGATAACACTATGCACAACATTCATAGCATTTTTAACTATTCACTAAAGAGTTGTTTAAAGTCAGAAGATCCAGGGAAGGGATTTTTGCCCAGAGTTTACTTCAAATCTGTAAATCCAGACCTGTTTGGTTATATGATTGTCCATTATACAGAATGAGGGCCATATCTTTCCTTTAGGATGTTTTGTCCATTTACTTTCGATGTTCTTTCAGTCTGTGGAGGAGAGCAGAGCCACCTCAGCACTTGTGCAGTTACAAGTCAAATACAATAATTTCTCAAGGCTGAAGGCAATAATTGATTCACTTTGGTTCCCACATCTCTCTTCACTTCTTCTGTTTAAGAATGTTTTCACCTCAGAGGCTGCAGAATGAAGTAAGATGTGCATGAAATGAAGACAGAACACTTTTAGGCTCAAAGCACTGCAATTGTCCTACCATGTAATTCAGAGTTCAGAAAAGGGTTAAAAGAAGTGCGTCTCAGATTAAAGCACCATGAAATCTGGCTTCTGTATTTTGCTCTATTATTTGAATTATTATAGTTCCTGTTGTCATTAAGCAAACTCAGGGCCTATTACTCCAAGCTCCATAAAATCATATAAAAACAAAGCACTGTAAAGATCCCATGATTTCAATTTTAAATAAAAAAAAAAAAAAGGGAAATCTGGTAATTTAGTTCTGATGTCTTGTGCTACAGCTGTCACAAAATAAATCAATATTTAATTTGAAAACATATTTTTCTTTTTGAATAAGACATTTGCTTTAGAAATAGTGGAGTTTACTAGCTGTCCCAAAAATTTGGTTTTGTCTCTTTAAAGGAGGTGTTTTAACAGTTAAATTATATGAATTATAATTCTGGTTCACAAAAGTATGAGGAGTGGAAGGTGAGAAGAGCACTCCATTCAGCTTATCTTGTATCAAATGATAGCTGTAAGAAATAAGAACAGATTGTGAAAGTGAAATCACAGAGCTGAGGAATGGTTGAGGTGGAAAGGTACCCCTGGAGATTGATTAGTCCAACCCCCCTGCTCAAAGCAGGGTCAGTAGAATAGTTTACCTAAGACTGGGTTAAGATGGGGTTTTGATATTTCAAGGCATGGAGACCCCATGACCTCTCTGGGCAACCTGTGCCACTGCTCACACGTACAGTAAAGGTGTTTTTTCTTACATTTTTTCTTACATTTAAATGGATTTTTCTGTATTCCAGATGGTGTGCACTGTCTCTTGTCCTGTCACTGGGCATTAAGAGTCTGACTGTATTCTTTACTCAATCTCATCAGGTATTTATACACATTATTAAGATCTTCCTCAAGTTTTTTCCTCTCAAGCTGTCTCAGTGAATCCAGTATAAATATCCAATGTCTTAATTACCTCTGTGCTTCGTCACTGGACTTTGATATTCTCGTGTCAACCTTGTACTGGTGAGGCCAGAATTGGGTAGTGCTGCAGATAGGCTTCACAAGTGCTGATCAGAGGTGAAAATACCACTCAGTTTCTGATGGGATGCTGACAGGGTGTGTTAATTTTGTGGAAACAGCCTTAACAGTACAGTACAAACAAAAATGATCCTTGCATTCTCTGTTCCTCCTTCCCCAAGATTTTCATTCTTTCTACATATATTCAAAGTCATCAAGAATCTTGAAGGGTGTGGGGAGTATGGGACTGTGTTTTCCCGGGAGAGCAAGAGTTGCCCTGTCCTATTGCATAGTGCAGCATAAAGGGTGCCTCAGCCAAACCAGACTAGGGACTGAAAAAAAAAGGATCAACAAGTGCACAGTGGTGTTGTTTTTACACGTTTGGGAGTTTGGTCACCTTGTTCCTCTACACTTATCTTTACAGAACTTCAAGAATGCCATCAAAACCAATGCTTTTTTGGTGTTTTTTTCCTTCTTCTGGTTCACACATGATTTGGGGTACAAAAACATAAGTGTGTGCTCATTCATGGCCCTTCTTATTTTGTTTTCCCCATGTCTCTTTAAGACAAAAGTTATGTGACAGTGAGTTTCTGTTACATCTGTCTCCACTCTCCCTTTTACTTGGGCGTTGAATATTCCCATCTCTTATTTGTGTTCCTTTCTGTTCTATTGTCCAATGCATACCCAAGTAGCTGCAAGAATGAAGATCACAGTTTGGCAGCCCTAGCAAAGAAGGAATAAATGCTCTTTTATATCTTTCAATTACACAAACATATTTTTACTTCGTTTTGTAAAAAGAAGACTTCGAAAACAGGAATCACATGAATTTTAGCTCAAATTCACATGCTTTCCAACATTTTTAATAGTCTTCACTCTGTAAGCTTGGAAGAGCAACTGAGGTAAATGCAGACATTCACATGATTTTTTAACACATGTAGACATGTGGCTGGCCATCCTGCACATTCAAACACACAAAGCCTTTCACTGCAACCCTGATTTGGGGGATCTGCTTCAGAAAATCCCTCAGAGAGATCCCTCATTTAAATTCTTCTTACTTCTCATGTTTTAGCCACCTCTGTAACTTCTTACTCTGCGTTATATAGGAATGATCTCCTTCCCAGATGTGGTTGACAGCTGGTCAGAGTCAGGGGATCATGAATCTTTTAATACTAGAAAGATGTGGGCATTGTCATGGCCTCTAAGCAGCCCTAGATGTGGCTATGAGCAACAAATACATGTTACGTGCTGGGCTATTAAATGGCAGCAGCTCCCAACCATCACCTTTTCACATCTTTTCAAAGACGTGACCTGGGAGTGCAGGAGCTTGGTCTAACACATCCCTCTTA